TCTTGATGCTTTCTGTGGAGGTTGATGTTCTGCAGCGTTCTTCTGTCTGAGCATCTCAGAATGGACGACCACTGCAGCCCTGATTGGTGCTGCTAAGGCTCCTTCTACACCTCCTGATTACTGCTGCAAATGTGTGGCCACTGATTTTTAGTTGATCTTCCTGCATCCTTTTCCATCTTTGTGACGTCTCACAATCAGGTTTTTCTGCTAATTTATTTCCATGTGGAGCCATGATGAAGACATGCAGATAGATGCAGCACATAGGTCCAGAACTGACAGAGTTCTGGTGTTTACTGTGGATTTTATGTAAATGTTTGTGCATTTAGGCTGATTGGAAATCACAGCTGGATTCACTTTAGTTGCCCAGAGTTTCTACATTGAGGCCTGAATTTTGAATGTAGTCTTTTTGAAGTTTTGTTTTTTTAATGCTACGTAAGATGAAATATTCAACTGTTCAGCTGAGAAATAGTCTCATTCCTGAGAGGTGGTTGATTTTGACATTTGAGTGAAGTTTCGTCGGGGTGTTCTCACCACTGTTGTACACTATACAAGGTGTGTCCGAAAAGTTCCAGGACTGGGGTCATAAAAGATATATTTCAAACTACAAACTACCAGTTTTCTCCTCTGAAGTAATCCTCCTGGAGTCTAACACTCTTCCCAGCCTTCTCTTCACGCCGCCATGCACTCCTGGAAGGATTCTTCCAGGATCCTCCTCAGCTCCGTCGTCACAGCCATCTTGTCCAGGTCTTCAAAGCAGGTCTCCTTGATGACCCCCTTGAACTTGGGGAGGAAGAACCAACCCCACAGAGCCAGGTGGGGTGAGTAGGGAGGTTGCTCCAGCACGGAGATGTTCTTCTCAGCCAGGAGCTGTGGGATGCTCAGAGGATTGTGAGCAGGTTGTCATGGTGAAGCAGCCACGACTTGTCCTGACACAACTCTGCCTCTTCTCTGAACGAAGCAAACGCTGCAGGATGTCTTTGCAGATGTGCTGGTTGATCGTCTGAAGGAGAAAACTCCTAGTTTCTAGTTTGGATTTGAAATATATCTTTTGTGACACCAGTCCTGGAACTTTTCACCTCGTACATCCTGATATGTTCATTATTTGGTCTTCTGTTCCTCTTCGCGCCGCCCACAGATCACTCTGAGCGAGGACACCATCCAGGAGATGGTCCAGGCGTCCGACCTGCTCCTCATGACCGACCTCAAGTTCCTGTGCTGCCAGTTCTTGGAGAGCTGCATCACCGCCGAGAACTGCATCGGCATCCGGCTCTTCTCGCTGCACTACTGGCTCTACCACGTCCACTACGCCGCCACCGAGTTCCTGCAGACGCACTTCCGCGACGTGGCGCTCACCGAGGAGTTCAGGGAGCTGCCGCACGACCGTCTCTGCGAGGTGCTCGCCATGGAGAAGCTGAACGTCGGCAACGAGAAGCACGTCCTGGAGGCCGTGGTGCGATGGTTCGGCCACGACCCGGACGATCGCAGGGTGAGCAGCGCTGGGTGGAGGTGGACTAAAAATGACACCGACTCATGTTTTCTCTGTTTTTATTAAGAGCCCCAACACTGCCGTAAGAAAATCAGCAAAATTACACAATTTATCAAATCCAAACACGATAAAAACTGCAAGAAGTTTGTAACGATCCAGGAGCTACTCATCTATGACGTGTCGTCCAGTGAGGGGAAAATCAAATCGCTTTATTCTACGTGTCTCGTTTAAAAATTTGCCAAAAATGAATCGTTTGCTCGAACCAGTTTCTGTCAAAAACAAAAAATTCTGTCCTCCTCGGTGTAAATGTGAAGCTCTCAGTGACTCGGCTGCCGCTGACAGTCACATGAGGAAAAATCAAAAAGATCATGGACTCTTGATTGAACTGCAGACAGTGTTTACAGAGAGGAGACGAGTATGAAAGCAAATTAAAAATATAAATAGTTAAATATCTATCTAATGTAGAGCCTTCCTGTTTTCTTTTTCAGTGTTGGTAGCACCTGTGTGCTCTTAATAAACTCTCTTATTTGCTGATTTTAGATTTTTTTTCCTCCAATATTTGTTAAATGAAAAATGAAAGAAGTCCAACTTTAGTTTTTTTTTTCTTTTTTATAATATTTCTGTCATTCTAACTGCACACCAGACATCTCTGAGTTGTCTCTCCTTCCTCGCGGTTGCTCTGTTCCCGTACAGGTGCAGGACTTGATGTGTTTCTGTGTTTCCAGGTGCACATGAGGGAGGTGATGTCGGCCGTGTGGCTGCAGGGTTTGGACGTGAGCTACCTGAGAGAGCAGGTAGAGCCAGTTTACATGTGTCATCACAGCATCAGTAATCCAGAAACAAAAGCAGGACAGCTCACGGCTTAGACGTGAATTCAACACTTTTTGTTTCGACAAAGTGTTTTGGACACTTTTACAGAACACATAAAGAATATGTTTGTCCTTTAATCGGTGAGTTTTACTTCGTGCTGCAAGTCAAACCTAATTTTTTAAACTAATATTTGCTTACGTTTTGCAAAATTATATGTGTTAAATTTGACTTTAACGGCTCCTTTTTGCTGATAAATATATTGCTAGCTATCACTGGATTGTCGGGCAGGTTCTGCAGTGTACATGCAGGCTGCAAACTGAGCCTTTTTTATGCTTATTTGTTTGTATTTCACCAATTTCAGCTAATTTGAATGCTATTACCAGCTCCTTTTTCTCTATTCACCACTGTATACAACGACAGCTATCACAGGATAACTTTAATACTGAATAAATCTTAACACCTGGAAGATTTAAAGGCAACTTCTGAATATCAGAGATGGTGATATCCTCTGGAAATGCATTCCTTATTTAATCAGTCAATGTGTTTTTGGTCCTGTATGAGTTATAAATCAGATATTAGAGAGCAGAAATGACTCCTTGTTGTTTTCAGAACACCTTCATGCAGTAAAAATCACTAATTAGCTCAAGTTACAATCAAATTTACCACCCAATTGAATTAAAAAAGTTGCCTAAAGTCTGCTAATGCTTCTGCCGATTGTGGTTTCTGAGCCCGACTAACTCGTCTGTGTGCTGCTCCGGTTTCCCATCAGGCCATGGGGGAGCCTCTGATGAGGGAGGTGATCAGAGAGTACTGCCAGCCGGTTTTGTCGGCGGGTCAGCTGCAGGGAGAAGCGATGCTCGCCGCCTTCAAACCGAGAGGATACTCCGAGTGTATCGTCATCGCCGGAGGAGAGGATCGCCAGTAAGTCGGCGCCTTTATGTTTATTATTTAGATTCTGATTTTGTCCCGGGCTGCAGGGTGGCACAGTTGGTCAGCAATGTTGCCTCGCAGCAAGAAGGTCGCCGGTTCGCGTCCCGGTGGGGGCACCGGAATCTTTCTGCTCAGTTTGCATGTTCTCCCCGTGCAGCGTGGGTTCTCTCCGGGTTCTCCGGCTTCCTCCCACAGTCCAGAAACATGTTGAGGTTAATTGGTGATTGTAAATTGTCCGTAGGTGTGAATGTGAGTGTGCTTGGTTGTCTGTCTCTAAGTGTAGCCCTGTGATAGACTGGTTACCTGTCCAGGTGAACCTGCCTTCACCCTGAGTCAGCTGGGATAGACTCCAGCCCCCCATGACCCTGGTGAGGATTAAGGTGTAGAGTTTTAAGGTGTGATGGATGGATGTTTTTGTCCCCCATCGGCACAAACAAAAAGCCTTTTCCGCTTTATTCTGCACACATTTTAAGGAAAAGCAGAAATTTCTTTGCTGTTGTCCATCAGAAGTTTGGACACACCAACTTGTTTCAGGGTTTTTGATCTTTTTATGTAAAACATGGAGCCTCCACATACCAAACACATCTTAGTGTTTGCATTTTTACAACCTATTTTTTATGCATTTTTATACACAGCTCTGCACATCAGCTGTAGAAGATTTTTCACCAAATTTCCACCTGTAGAATGAAGTGACTTTGATGAAGCGTCATGATTTGAAGCCTGTTTTTTTGCTTTTTATCGGCATATCTTAAACAATACATTCACAGAGCATTGCGGAGTTTCTTTTAGAGTTTCTGGCTGATAAATTGTATAATTTTAGCAATTTTTTAAAAAAGGAAAACACTTCTTTAAAACCTTCTGTGATTCGGAGGTATTTTGATTCAGTTGTGTTGTTTTAATTGGAGCTATGATTTGCACCATTTAGGCAGATTTATTTTATTGTGAAGGGGATGCAAAGGAAAACACATGAGACAAAGATGCTACATCAGGAGCTTTTTGGAGAATTTTAAAGTGCGAATAGAGGGATTTTGCTGAAATGCCACAACTTTTTCAGCTGAACTGTACGACACACATGATTAGTTTTTACATTTTCTGGCTGATAAATGGTGCCACGTTTCCATTTTTTAAAAAAAGATCACGTGACTTTCTATGCCGCTGGTGGGTTTTGAGATTCAGACGGTTGATTTTTTTCTGGAAGGCAGAAAATAAACTCTAAGGAAATAAAGAAAACCCTTGAATGAACATTTTGACTTTTACTGTACGTAATCTAAAATCCATCGTATGTCGGCAGTTTCAGTGCAGAATGAATGAAAACGTGACTTTAAAAAGCCGCTTGAATCCAAATTGTCGTTTTCTGTTGTACAGTTGAGATCAGAAGTTTACATCCTCTGTATAAAAAGACAAATAAACTTTTTTGTCTCACTGTCTGACATGAAGAAAGTTATAAAAATTCTCTCTCATTATTTTGGCATTTAACAAATAGAAATAATGTTGGTAATCCGAACTGACCTGAAACATTGACGTTAGCGGTTAAATCAGTGATTGTTTTTATCTCGTACAGGAGCAGGAAGCCGTCCGCCGCCACCCGCTGCATGTGTCCGCTCTACGACACCAACAGACAGAACTGGATCGAGCTGCAGCCGATGAGCGTCGCCCGACTCGGACACGGAGTCGTCGCTGCCGGTCGGTCGCTCCGTCACACCTACGGATCAAACAGAACCGCTGTTTGTCAGAGCAGAGCGTTAACACCAAGACGTTTTCTGTCTGTTCAGAGGGTTTTCTGTTCGTGATGGGAGGAGCCGATGAACACAACTCGGTCCTGGGCAGCGGAGAGAAGTACGACCCCGACTCCAACAGCTGGAGCTCCATCCCGCCGATGCTGCAGGTACGTTCAGCGCTTCGTTACAGAAGATTGTCTGCACAGTTTCTAGCCTGTTTCAATCTGGCCATCAAACAGACACTAGAAATGATCACTTCTGGTGTTAGATTTTGCTGCTCAGTGGGATTCATCAGTTTTAGTTTGGTCTCTTTTTGTAATATACTTCACGACCACAAGGTGTCAGCAGTGATGCAATAAAACAGACGGCGCAGCATCTGTTTGCATTTTAAAGAGAAAACTTGTTCCATTTACGTTAAATGTTGAGTAAATATTATTTAACTACATCTTTGTATTAATAACAGATGTATAGGAGTATAAATTTGAAGTCAAGTTAACTTTTATGGCACATTTAATCCACAAAGAGAATTAAAAGTGCGATACGTGGTGCTTTAAAGTCTCTAAAAAGAAACGAAAACAGCGTAAAAACATTCAGATTTATGAAATAGGTTTAAATATACAGTGTAGATTTTTTTTTTAATGCAGAGACAAATCTAAACCATAGTTTTGTTTTGTTTTTTTAAAAAGTGGCTCATTCATTAAAAGTACATGTGGGGGAAAGAAAAAAACAATACACTATTAAATAAGTGATTAAATGCTTAAATGAAAGTTGGTTTTTATGCATAAGGTGGGCAAAAAGTGACTTAAGTATCGCTAAATAATTATAGAAAGGAATGTGGGGGAAAATCCTCAATAATTGCAGTATTATATAAAAGTGAATAATTAACTTGGTGTGTAGGACAAAAATAAAATAGACAAATTGTTTTGGTTGGTAAATTGTTGGTTTGGGATTTTTAGTAAATAAAAATCAAATAAATCAAATAAAAAAAAGTTTGATATTATTGCTGCTGCTAAGTTTAAATGTGGAAGTGAATAAAATTAAAGTAGAAAAATAGAATCAAAGAAATGTAGATGTAAACATTAATTTTAAAAAGTTATTTTGTTTATTTATTCGCCCAATTAGCATTTTTTTTTGTAATTTCTGTATTTATTGATTGATTATTTTATGTATAAGCAAGAAAAAAATCCAAACAATGTAAAGACCGTTTTATTATTATTATTATTATTATTATTATTATTATTTACTTATTTTTAGCTGTGAGATATGAACTATAGCAAATGTTTTTATTCCATTAAATAGACTTTTAAATTTATTTTACTGCTGCTTGCTGTGTCCAACCCTCACACTGACCACGTATGTTGACAAATAACCAGTTAACCAAAACTGACCGCCTTGTGATCAATAAAGTAATCTGATTCTGGGCCCAAAAATACTCGAGTACAATCCAGAGCAGCAGGTGTAGAAACCTCAGGCTGTATGTGATTAATAGATGAGTTTTGTTGCTGCTTTAGTTCAGACTTCAGGGTTTAAAAACACTCAAATGAACGACTTTATTCATTGTTTTGGCGCCGCTGGTGTTGTCAGGCTCGGCAGAACTTCGGCGTGGTGGAGCTGGACGGCCTGATCTACGTCCTCGGGGGAGAGACCGACGTGACGGAGCTGATCACGGTGGAAGTGTTCGACCCGCACTGCAGCACCTGGAAGATGCAGACCAGCATGACGATGATCCGGAAGGTAGCGAACGCACACAACGGTCGCTTTAACGTGACGCAAAAATACGTAAATAAAAGCTGCTTCAACTGGCAACCAAAGAATTAGTTTTAAGTAGAAGTTTTGGGCTGTATTTCTGTCACGTCAGTCATTTCAAACGTGATCTGTTTACGCGTGCCGTGTTTTCGTTTGCTCTTGGTGTTGCGACCTACATTTAGCTTATCGTCCTCCGTGACGATAAAGGTGATGCCGCTTATCGGGTTCATTAAGGGACACGTGAGAAGTTGTGTAGGTTTGCAGGGCGCAAACACACACTTAGTCATTTCAGTTTATTTCTTTGGAGCCTCACATGCACCAAAAACACCCAAAACAAATGAACAAAAGCAACATCCTGCCCTTAGGCGCGGTCTAACCGATGCCCCCTGGTGGCCACAACCGGATCCACCGGTTAGATTACACCGTGTTCAGAACAGAAAGAATCATTATGCTGGTTCAAATCAGGATATTTCGGTGGTGACGAAGCTCCACCGTAAAGACAACGAGTCTGTGTTTCCTCATCTGACAGAAATATCTGCATTTTCCTGTGATTCCTGATTATTTGATTTAAAAGAAAACATGTATGTGTCTGTGTTTTTACTCTGTTGTGTTACCAACAACTTAAAATGAATCGGAGGTTAATCCAGCTGTCTGAATTAAAATAAATGAAATTAAATTCCAAACTTAGAGCTTCAGAAACTTTCAACAAACTCAGTCGGAAACCTCATATAAATTATATTTTAGGGCAAATTTGACAAAAACGGTGTAATTCCTACGAAGGATGTGACACATTCTGACCTCAAAAGCCTCTTATACAAGGTGCTGCTCATTGTTTTTACACACCTACTGTGCAGAAGGTAACTCATAAAATACTGCATTAACTCCAGTAAACTTATGTGGGGTGTAATAAGAACACCAGTAGGTTGTTTACCAAAACAAACCCTTGAAATTCTATATAGTTTAGTGAATTTTAGGACTGCACAAATAACGTTCAAGACAAACAACAAGTTACTTCCTGATAACTTACAACAGCTGCTCTGAAAACTAGGAATAGAATAAACTTTAAAAAGCCGTTTTCTCGTAGCACCATGAAGAGCAGATGTTGGTCAGAATGTGGGGTGAACTCATGAACAGTCTGGACGACGATCTCAGTTGAAGAATATAATAACGTGGAACATTAAAGGTGTTGTTGGGGTTTCTTAAGATGTAAATAAGGTTTAAAGCAAGTAGGAAACAGTAAGACATGAGATGAATAAAAGTTTACATCCACTTGCAAAGACCTTGAATGACAGTCTTGAGCTTCTAATGAATCCGAAAACCTTGAATTTTCTACAATGGAACCACTGAAACCCGTGAGTCTTTTCTTTGCACGAGACAAAGAAAAGGCCTTCTGGACCAAAGTTCTGTGGTCAGATGGCACAAAAACTGGGACAGTGAGGCCTTTTACCCCAAGAACACCAAACCTACCATCAGGCATGGAGGTGGCAGCATCATGCTCTGGAGCTGTTCTGCTGCCAAAGTCAATGGAACAATGAAGAAGGAGGAGGATCACCTCCATGTTGTTCAGGAAAACCTCAAACCATCAGCAGAAGGTTGATCTTGGACACAGTTGGATGTTCCAACCAGACAATGAGCCCAAACACATCAAAGTGGTGAAGAAATGGTTCCATCAGGCTGGAATGAAGGTTCTAGGCTGGTCTCCCCAAAGTCCTGACTGGAACCATCCAGAACCTGTGGACTGATGAAGAAACAGGCCGAGATTAGTAAAAGATGAACCAGATGCTTGTGGACAGAAACCAGAAGAACCTAACGGAGGCGAAAATGGACGTTAAGTTTTACTCAGATAGCACAAGTATGTTTTTGACGTTTTGTCGTATTTCCAGAAAATCTATAATGATGAAAGAAATCCATGATTCATGTGTTTCAATGATCCCATTATAGAAAATTCAGGGTTGTAGGAGTCACTGGAAACTCAAGACTTCCATGATACTGGTGATGTTTACGAGTTTATGGAAACTTTTGACTTTTGTAGCCGGCAGGGGTTCCCGTTGGACATTATCTGAAGCTTTTGGGGTTTCTTGTCATTTCGTGTGTTTGCCTTCATGGTATTGTGGACTGTCTGACATATATATATATATATAAAACTACTGCGGCAGGGTGACTGCGAGTGTTGTAACTTGTGCTGCCGTGTCTCCTTCAGGTCGGCTGCTACGCCTCCATGAACAAGAAGATCTACGCCATCGGTGGAGGCTCCTACGGGAAGCTGTTCGACTCAGTGGAGTGCTTTGACCCCAAAACGCAGCAGTGGACGGGCCTTTGTCCTCTGAAAGAAAGACGGTAAACGCTGAAGCCGCTGTGGACAAAAGAAACCGGATCTACGGTTCGATCAGACGACATGCGAGCAGTTTACCGTCGACACCGTCTCGTGTTACCGTCCTAAACTCGGTGGCACAACATGCTTGTTTCTGTTGCACAACAGGAAATGAAACATGCCTCCGCGGTCGCTGTCATGCTCTCAGATCTGTCAGTTTTAGTTTCTGTTTGACTTCCCTCGCCACAGTCACACCATCTTATCGGACCCCATGATCAGGAAGTGCCGTTGAGTCGCGCTGTGGTCACGGCAGGAGAAACATTCAGGGTTTCGCTTTGCGTGTCGACTCGCTGGTGGCCAGCGACTTCTCTTTGGCATCGTTGAAATGTTAAATGACGTGCGACGGACTCGCTGCACCCTGTTTGGTCCAAACACGTTCGTGTTTTGCGGAGTTTTCTGGAATGAGTCGTCCTTCACGCTGCCTGGTTGTCAGTGCAGAGTTGTGTAAATTGTGCGTGGCGTCGTTTCGTTAGAACGGACGCTTCTTCACCACAGTGTCACAACATCAGTAGTCGGTACCAACACGTCTGAACCCCAAGGCCTGCTGGTGGCTTTTAAAAAAACACCAAAATGACACCATTTATCTGCCAGAAATTGTGAAAACTTTCAACTTTCCGATGGTCCCTGAATGTATCATGTGGGGTGAAGGGTTCCTGTTAGGGAAATAAATAACCAAATCTGACTTTAAAATTGTGATATTTCATTAAAATAACATTTATTTCTACATCGTATATTTAAAAATTCTCCAAAAATAAACCATTTGCATTAAACAGATTCTATAAAAAATGAAAAATTCTGCTCTCCTCAACACAACCAAGAAGTCACGACTGACTCAGCTGCGACCGACAACCGTGTGACAAAAATTCAGAGAGTTTTCAGGTTGAAAACACAAAACGAGACAGAAAACAACAAAAAAGTGAACACAAAGTGAACACAAAGAGACAAAACTGCCCCAAAGACGCATAAAATGACCAAAACAAGACGCAAAATGGTAAATTCAAGCCACACAGTGACAACGATGAGACAGAAACCCGCAAAAACACGACACAAAACAACACAAACCGGACAAAATCACACAAACAAGACAATAAAGATAGTGAAATATCGAAGGTATGTGGAGACGAAACGACCACAAAGACACAAAAATGTCTGAAATGAAAAAAAACACACACAAAATGACAAAAATGATTCAGAAAACAACCAACAGGAGACACAAAGTGAACGCAGAGACAAAACTTTACCAAATATGCACAAAATGACCAAAATACGACGAAACGACCGAAAGGAAACGAGACACAAGACGACACAAACGAGACAAAAACCAATAAAATCGAGACACACGATGACAGAAATGAGACACAAAACACACCACACTCACCTTTTGTATGTGTTATGTACTAGTATGTGAATATCAGGATTGAGGATTTTAGTTTTTCCTCCCGCTCAGGTTCGGCTCGGTGGCCTGCGGCGTCGGTCAGGAGCTCTACGTGTTCGGTGGAGTCAGGAGCCAAGAAAACGAAAACCCAGAACAACGACACATGATGACCTGCAAGTCGGAGTTCTACCACGACGAGATGAGGAGGTCGGTGCTCCAGAAAAATATATGTCTATAATTAAACATCATTCTCCAGCGAGCTGCTCGTTTGGAGCGTTGATTTCGATGTGGAATTTTGAAAAATGAATCCCAAAAAGAGAGCTGAATACTTCTGAATTCAGAACTGTGGTAGTTATATTTATATTCATGGTCTGAAAATAGATATAGAGGCGCATTTTACATTCTAAAATTCCTTTGTTACAGATGGAAGAACACAAATACAGAAGATTTAAATGTTTAACATCCCCGTCTTATATTTCAGTCAAATCTGTTGTTTATGGACAGATGTGGTTTAAACAGACAGACACACATGATTATAGCTAATTAGCATTAATTAATTAATTATCATTAATTCATTAATTAATCATTAATTCAGTAACTAGTTTGGATAACATTTTGTGGTTGCGAATATATAAATTAACAAAAAAGTCCAGATAGCAAAAGTAAATGAATTGAATTTTTACATTTTTATTTGAAAAAGGATTTAAAGATAAAATAAACAAATAAACAAACAGTTAAACAACACACACAAAAAAAGAAGTTAAGAATATAAAGATTAAAAACAAAACATAGTTAAAAAGAAAAAAAAAGAAGTTTAAAGATTAAAAAAAACTGTTAAAAAAAAACAAAAAAGAAAAAAGTTAAGGATTTAAAGATTTTAAAAAATAGTTTAAAAAACACAAAAGAAAATAATTTAAAAGTTGAAAGAGTTGAAGATTTAAAATAACTATATATATACAGTTAAATAACACCAAAAAATTAAGCAGTTAAGGATTTAAAGACAAAAAAACAACAACAAAAAAAAACATACAGTTGATAAACACAAAAGAAAAAAATTAAGAAGGATTTAAATTTTAAAAATCCAGGTAAAAAACACCAAAAAAGAAAAAAACTAAGACGTGTGTTTCACAAATATGAGAAAATATTACAACAATTCGTTAGAAAAGGGAAATTTCTTCAATTTCGTCAAAATCAGCAGCAGAGAAAACAAAAGTAAGTTCATAAGGAACATTTTAGTGATTTATTTTTAAAACTCGTGTAAAATAAATCCAGTAAAAAGTGAATAAATTTACATTTTCAGACGTGGCAGGAACACAGAAACACTGATATCTGATTAATATTATGTCTTACACTAACCTAAGGTGTGTGAGCAGGTGGAAAGAGGCGTCTTTATGGTTTTAAAGTGAAGAAACTGCGTGTTGTGCTGCAGGTGGATGTTCCTGGACGACCAGAGTTTGTGCATCCAGACCAGCTCGTCCTTCGTGTACGGCGCCGTGCCCATCGGCGCCAGCATCTACGTGGTGGGAGACCTGGACACGGGTCTGTAGAACTACAACAAACTGGTGGAAACATCCAGCAGAGCCGCTGCCGGCCGGTCACTCAGTCTGATGTTTTTCCTCTGCAGGTACGAGCTTCGACTACATCCGCGAGTTCCGCCGCAGCACCGGGACGTGGCAGCGAACGAAACCCATGCTGCCCAGCGACCTGTCGAAAACCACCTGCGCCTCGCTGAGGATCGCCAACTGCCGGCTGTTCCGCCTCCAGCTGAGCCAGGGCATGTTCAGAATCCGGGTCTGAGTCCGCTCGCCGGTACCGTCCGCCCGCCGCTAGGGAAACATACAAACACTAAAGTATTATAGTCGCTGCGTGTCGAGGATCCGTTCGGGCCTTTTCGATGTTTGACTCGACGAAAGTTCATCTTAACGTGTTTTTTACTTTTCTTTTTTTTTTTTACAAACCTAAATATGTTTTATTTTTAATGTGGGATTTGTTCTTTTTCTTTTTTCAGGTTTTATTTTAATGGACATTCCTCATTTTTAACGTTTACTGGTTAGTTTACTGCTGCATCAGGAATCGTGATGCGGACGGACGATTCGGGGAAATCCGGTTTCATTGTTCGACATTAACGCGTCATGCTAACTTTGCACTTTCATCGTAGAGATTTAAACAAGGAAGGATTCGCATAAAAACGGCGTATGTTAGAGCAAAAAGGGTCATTTTGCTGCAGCTTTCAAGAGAAAAAAAAGGCAGATTTTTACGTAAACTTTTTCGTTATTTTCAGTCTGACTTAAACACAAAAATTAGCCACATAGCCGAACGTTTCGCTAACAGGAATACTTCGATCTGATCGCTGACGGATTCATCCACCGGTTTGTTTTTGAGTTTTCCTGCTGCAAAAAAATCATAGCAAAGTCTTAATATTTTGTTAACCTTTAACCAAAAACAACTTTGACTAAAAGACAAATCTGAATAAAAACACAAAAAGTGGAAGCCGGGATGTGAAGCTTTTATCGTCGCCGTTTCGATCCAGTGCTTTATTTTTATTGGTACTTTTTGAGAGCAAAGCAAATCAAGAACAGAATGAATTTTGCTTTTTTTCCTCTGTTATTTACTGTATTTAAATTAGTCATGCACGATGTTAACATTTCTGGCCGATACCTGATATGAAGATTTCTGATATCGCCGATAACCGATATCGCCGATGTCGATATTTAATTTTTGTTCACATTAAAAGATGAGTATAAATAAGCACTGAGAATGGGAAAACTATTCAAAAGAAGCCCAAATTAGACCACATGGTCTTCTTTATTAACAAAGGTGAAACATATTTTAACATATTTAACGTTAAAGGAACATTTAAGTCAAAACATCTGTGAAACAGCAGCGATATCGAACGTAGAGACGAAGGTGCTGATGTTAGACAATCATCGGCTAAATTTGTTCATCACACCGATACCGATAAAAATCAGAAAGAACACTAATATCGGCCGACACCAACATGGTCGCCGATACATCCCTACTTTAAATAAATAATCTGCAAGAACATCGTCTTCAACAAATCACTGATATATGTCATGATGTTATAATTAGAATGTAAAATAAATATAATAATTATCTACAGCAAAAGAAAATCACTTTGTGGACACTAACGTCGTGCTGACGGGAAGATCAGAGCCTCACTCGCAGATCAAAATATATTCTAAAATAATATAAAAGTTTTTAAAGTTGTGTGACATTTATCTGTCCGGTGTTGTACCAGACTGAAAAACTCCTCCTGGAAGTAAACGTCAGGACGTTATGTTGACGAAAACCTCCGTGAGCTTTTTTCTTTGACGGCGTTTTTACTGCGTGAAGAAAACAGTTGACGTTCTTCCTCTAACGCCAGCATTCAGTCCGAGCCAACAGGTCACTGAACCCCGCTGCTCTGAAAGTGAAACTAAAATCCCGACGGACGGTTCAGGCTGAATTTCTGGTTGAAGAAACAGCCGGATCCTTCTAATCATTAACCCACGTCCCTCTAGTTTAATTAACTCTGCTGCTGGCAAACATAACATCCCTGGTTAGTGAGGGATGAACCACCAGCTGAACTTCTTCTGATCTCTTGTTGCATCAGTCGTCCTCGTCAATGTTTACTCGTCTCCTCCCATCGCCAGCTGTGTGATTAGAAAAGTCTTGTTTGGATTTGTGAAGAGAAAACGCATCACTGAGGCGGAGAGGCAGAACGTGCGACGCAATGTTGTTCACGTTTTAACGTCATTGAGCCTCCGATATTTAGAAATGTAGCCCCAGGGTGACGAATAAGGCGGCGCCAACCCATTTAAAACCTCCAAAACAAACAATACAATCAATCCTGAAGCGTGGAGGGACGACTGTACGAAATATGAAACCTGTTGTTTTTTTGTTTCACTTTGATTCGGCTGCTCTTTATCTTGTCATACATGTTCCCGGGAGTCACACATGACGAACAAACCGGTGGATGAATCCTGCAGGAAGTCAGATCAGACGGAAAGTCGACCTGCAGACGTATGTGATACATGTAGTGGTTTGTTTCTGTGTGTGGAGGAGGTCGGGGTGGATGGACGGGTCAACCAGACATCAGACTTCAACAATGTTTTTTTTAATTATGACTATAATTGTTCCCCAACTTTAATCGAGCAGTTCTTATTTTACCAACGTGAGGCGGCTGAAGGAGGACTTTTAACCTTAACGAGTCATTTTTGTGCCTAAACTTCACCATCACGGCTTTGGATCCACAACCAAAGATTCCACCGAATGTCTTCTTATTTGAATCACAAAAAGCACCTTTTAGTGCCACGACTGTAGCTGGAAAGCTTCAGCAGCAAGTGTAGAAAAACCACTAAACCACGTAGTAGATGAGGGAACACCGGGTAAATCACCAAATAACCCCGATGTGCACATTTTCACTCGATCACGTCTCAACTCTGCGTACGTCGTTTCCTCGACCGAGCCGTCCGTTCAGAAATAGGATGCGTTCGCTGGCCCCTGACCCGGCTTTACGGTCGCTGCGGTTTTGGCATCCCTCGACTCCCGTTTGTTCGGAGGGAGTTTCAGCTGCTGCTGTCCGTCGTCGGCTCAGCGAACACAAAGCAAACACACTCAGTGCTGACTCGGATCAGGCGGCTCGCGTTAGTCGGGAACGAAGGCCGATGCACTCCGATATTCACCCTCTCAACCTTCGTGGACGTTTTTTTTGTTTTTTGGGCTCCTGTTACAGTTTTCCTCTCGTATGAAGTCCTGAGACAGAACTCAGACATGTCTGGACGTAAACTATGTAAACAAAACGTATTTATTTTACAGATGTTCCAACAACATGGAGTCAGTATGTCTACCGAGTGCTCACTGGAGTTAACAACACTGGAAAACAATTAAACTATTTACCTTCTTACAGACTCTGTAGAAAGATGTTCCTCCATCAGCTGGATGTATCGGCCACCAGCTCCTCTGCTCACTGGCTGCATTTATTTATTGATCCAGTAGGTTTTATTAATCGTCTCCTCTGTGCTCTGTGGAAACGCTGCCTGCAGCTCATCTGTCTGGTACAAACGGTTATTATTTGTTTTTTTAAAAATATTAACGAGATTTTAATTTAACATCTGAACTTTTTTTGGGTTAGATTTGGCACATTTTCCCGATGGAACTGCTCGCGATGCGTTCAGGGACGGTCAGGAAGCTGATTTTCGGGGTTTAGACGGTTAACTGGGCGACACATTCGATGTGATGCCGTAATTCAAGCTACTGTTTGCACCATTAGTGCAGTTTTCACCAGTGAAGTGTTGGTGTTTGCTTTAATTGTAAGGGAAGCACAGAGGGACAAACGGAAGAAGACGCAGATTGTTTATTTTTTAATCATAGACTAAAGGGAAAAGATGTTGTTTGTCCTGACGTAGCCACACGTTACACATGATGTGTTTAAGCACCGTCAGAAGGTTGACTCTTTCTGTACTTCACTACTTCTGTTATATATCATATATAATAAAGATTCTGATCTAGTCTAGGTACCAGGACTAAACCAACCCGCCACCGTGATTCACGTCGAGAGCTCTGAGAACGATCACCATTAAATTAATCACCAGCTGTTTTGATAATCAATCAATCGGTTTGAGTATTTTTTAAAAAAAACAGTCTACCTTCTCGGGTTACAGGTTCTAAGATGTGAATATTCTTTCTTTCCTCCTCTTGAACATCTTTAGACTCGTACGGAAAACGTTTACCGAGGTTGCAAATCGAGCGAGAAGTTGGTCGTTTTCTCATTGACTTCTGTGATTATTTAGCAAGCGGAGGCGTCGCCCCCTGCTGGGAGCACCGTGTGGAAGCAGCTGCAGTTGTAGGACCACGTTTCTAGGACCCGTGTTTTGTTTTGTGCCACCCGGCCATGATGGACAACCACAGCGTGAATCCACAGTTTAAATCAAGTTAGCTAAACAGTTTGGATGTCTTCAGCTGGTGAGCGAGGTTGCTGTTAGCTTGCTAGCATGTCAACGAGATGTCTACAAGCTAATGAAAACTCGCTGCAAAAGTTAGCTTGTTTAACGAAGCGCGATTTGGGGTTTGTATTAATGTTAATTAGAAATGTCTGTTAATCAGTGCTGTGACCACAATACAAGCTATCAGACCGTCTCTTGATTCTGGAATTGTTTGGTATTATGGGATGGCTTTTTTTTCCAATATAAAGAACTTTCATCGACACAAATTAAACCCAGACAGAAAAGTCTTTGGTCCAGGACTCAGATTAGGCCTAATTTAAGTCTGTCAAAATGTTTAATTCCCCCAATGATGCTCGTTCTTTTTCAGGATTCCCCAAATTAGCAGCTGCTCAACTTTAGTCGTATTTTGTACTTTAACTGCATATTTTGGGCAGAACGACCCTTTAAAGCTTTAAGTTGTGCACTTGAGTGGTCACTAAAAACAAACTTCCTACAACTGCAGCCGCCTGGACGTTAACGCCGGATTAAGGCTTTCGTTTTTCCAGATCCGAAGGCTGCGTCACCTTTTGCACAACCTTTGTCGGGAACGGAGTGAGATGAGGTGATTGGTGAGGCCGGCGAGCATCACGCCTCTTTATTTCTGGCTCACATTCCGTCGTGTCTTATCATTTACAGTCAATATTTCCGGGCTGCTCTGTATATAATAAACATCACTTGTTCCGACACCTCATGACCGCCTGTGTTGTGATTCACTGGGAGACTCCATGAGGGAAGAACAACAGCGGTCTGACCTGAAAATAGTCGGCCGCCGCCGCGTTGCGTAAGGCGGGGAAACTGTTGTTTCAGTTTGTACTTTTGTAACTGATGCATGAGGAAGTTTTGTAAGACGTTTGCTCGTGACTGTCATTCATGTGCGTCAAAGGAATTAAATCACCAAAGTGGTCAAACACGTCTTGTCGCGTTTCTTTCTGTTTTACTTTATTTTTCTCCTGCGTACGTCCAACATCAGTGACTCAGACAGTGACTGAGCTTTTGAACTTTGCTGTGTGATGTGCAAATACTGAAAAGGAGAAGGAGATCGACTTTATAAGGGAGTTTTATGTTTTTAATACATTTAATTACTGCTAAATATGTCAACAAAGATGAGATATACAACTTTAAATGTGGGTACCAAAGCTACCATCAATGCAGACTGTCGTTCACATGGGCCTTCTAATGATGATTTTCAATTTCTGTTTATTTTTTTAACCAAAGCCTAAAGTTCTGCAGTCTGACTGAATGAAGCAGGATTCTCATCACGTGTTCTTCATGGACAACTACAAACTTAAAGAAAGGTTCAAAAATTGCCTCGTTAACAGCACATTTTCTGCATTTTTTTTCTGCTTCTCCGTTGTTTTGTTGCTGTTTTTTGGCTGCATTAATATATACATTTTGGTAATTTTTAAATAAATACTTTATTATGTATTCTGTTTTAATATTACTGGTGGAAAAAAAAACTAAGCTGCATCTGTTACATGAAAAACGCTATTCAAAGTATATTAACTACAGTTTATTATTATTATTGTTTATTAATAATAATAAAAAACATGCAAGTAGTTCATAAATGCTTAGTTTGGACCACATTAAACCATCCAACCTGTATTTTTTGACAGTGTTGGCTTTGGATGTGAAGGAAGCTAACACCTA